CGCGGAGGTCCATCTTCGTAAACACCTTGGCGTGCTTCAACTTGTCGAGGAGGTCTGATATGAGCGGGAGCGGGTATCGATCCTTGACAGTGTTCTCGTTGAGTAGCCGGTAGTCTTGACAGGGACGTAGTGAACCGTCCTTTTTACCAACAAAGAAGAATGGACTCGCCAACGGGGATTTCGAAGGGCGAATGTACCCTTTACTCAGGTTCTCCTTGAGGAACTTGTCGAGTTCCTTTCGTTGCTGCGGGTTGAGCGGATAGACCTGTTGCTTCATGTCCGTGAAGCCCTCCTTGAGGTTGATTTCGTGGTCGTATTCGGTGTGGTCTGGAAGTCGCGCAGCGGTGCCTTTGTCGAAGACGGGGAGGAGGTCGTGTAGGTAGGATGGTACCATCTGTGGTAGCGTTTTTTCTGTCTTGCCTTGGGCGTTCGATGCTGCAAGTTCGGTGGAAGTGGTGATGCGCCTAACGTCGTGGTGGATCTTCCAGATCATGCCGTTGTGAAGTCGTTTGTAGCCAGATGAAAGTTCAGGGAGTTGCTCCTTGAGTGGAACGTCCCTCACTGCCAGGGGTTCCTGTTTCTCGTACTTGGTGATCATCGGTGTTCCAGATAAGTAGGAAATGATGAACTCATCATCGTCGATGTCTTCCGCTTGTTCCTCGATGGACGCAATACCCGTTGACCCAAACCCATCCTCCCCGCGTTCTGTTTCGTCGATGCAGTCGGTTAGCGTTACTGGTGGAGTGCTCATCCTTTCAAGGATGAGCTGGGCAACTCGGTCGCCAGCTTTGATGGTGAATGGGAGGTTTGAGTTATTGACCAGCAGGACTGAGACCTTGCCTCGGTAATCGGAGTCGATTACTCCTGCAGCGACATCGATTTCTTTTAGCGCTAGACCAGACCGAGGTGCGATTCTTCCGTAGTGTCCTTTGGGGATAGCCATGATAAGATCGGTGCCAACCAGGCCTCGTCGTCGGGCAGGGATGATGAGTTGATGCGCAGCAGAGATGTCATATCCTGCTGCGCCGCTAGTCTTTCGTTCGGGAAGGGTTGCGTGCTCGGAGGTGGAGATGACGACGAATTCGTCCTCCGTTGGTTCTGGGAGTGGGGTAGTTACGGCCTTCTTCAGTTCTAGCCGAGCCACTCGCCTTTGGTACAGGTCCATCTTCCAGGCCCTGGTCTCGTCTTTCGTCCAGCGGTGGTTTAGCTCAACTCGTCCGGTCTTCCAGTCTATCTTGGGGTTTTCGAGTTAGAGCCAAGTGTGGCCGAAGGTGATGTCTTCCTTGCCGATGCTGGCGACGTAGGCTTTGACAAATCGGGGTTCTCCGCTTATCTTGTAAGATAAGAGGGCTCTTCGCGTGATGAGTGCTTCTTTGTTCGGAGTTCCATCCACGTTGAAGACGGGGATGGGTCGGGGAAGGGGCTCTGTCCGAAGTCGATGCTCTCGGACGAATCTCGGGCTGATGAAGATTCCTGTTGCGCCGCTATCGATGAAAGCGCGCGCCTCGACGTCTTTTCGTCCCACAGTAATCGGAATGTGCAGAGCGCGTTCATTTCGAACTACTAAAATTACACGGGACAGTGAAACGGATACGGGCAGTGGTTGCGTCGGCTCACCCTGCCCCTTCAAAAATCCTCCATCGTGAGTTCTTCGTACAGCTCCCGCTTTTCGTCAGCGGAGAGTGTCTTGATTCTGGCGCGGAAGTCGTCCTTCCCAGATCCTCCGTGGTTCGGCCTTCCACCCCCTTGTCGTGCGGCCGCTTTCTTGCGGCAATCCTTGGCGCTGTGGCCCTTGATGTGGCAGTAGAAGCACAGGTTCCCATCCCTGTGGAACTTCCAATCGGCTTCGTTGAGAACGGCTCCTAGTTCCCATTTCCTTCCTCCTGACGTGGAGGCGAAGGTTGATGCGACGGCAGTGGCGTCGATATCCATTGGTTCGCCATAGTCCCTGGTGTCTGTGATGACGAGAGCCCCCTGCTTGGCTGCATCGGTGTTTCGAACTTCGTCGTACCAGGCCTTCATGGTGTTGGGTCGATCCCTAGCGACTCTTGTTGCGAGAGCAAAGTACAGCTCCTTCGGGAGTCCTTTGACAAAGTTGGCGTGGAGAGTGTGGTAGTTGTTCTCAATGCGGTTGGTGCCATTGACCTCGGTGTCCTTGAGCTGAGCCTTCGATGCCAGCTGCTCGAAGCGGGTAACGTAGTTACCGAGGGAGAGCGCCGTCTTCCTATCCTTCTGTCGTTCAGGCAGTTTCATCAGGATTTGATGTGCCTTGATTCGCGTTCCGTGCTCAGGGAACACCTCTTCTAGAGCGGCAACGAAGTCTGCCCAAGTGGAATAGACCTGGACTCCCCCTGCTGACTTTTCG